GAGAGGAATTACCCCATTCATGACTTAGAACTAGCAACACTGGTGTTTGCTCTCAAGATATGGAGGCATTACCTTTATGGAGTCAGATTTGAATTTTTAGTGATCACAAGAGTCTAAAGTATTTATTTGATCAGAAGGAGTTAAATATGAGACAGAGAAGATGGATGAAGTTTCTTAAGGATTATGACTTTCAGTTACTTTATCATCTAGGGAAGGCGAATGTGGTGGCTGACGCCTTGACTAGGAAGGCAGTTCAGATGTCAGCAATGATGATGGATGAATTGAGATTACTCGAGCAGTTCAAGGATCTGCATCTAGATGTAGAGTTTCGTGATACTAGCATTAGTTGTGGTAACATTACCATTACTAATAATTTTCTCGAGATGATTAGAGATAGACAGCAGGGTGATATGACGTTGGAAGGTGTTATGGATCAGTTAGGATCCGAGCAGACCATTGACTACAAGATGAGTGAAGATAGTATTCTGAGATTCAGAGGAAGAATTTGTATTCTTGTTTACCAGGAATTGAAGAGAGCAATACTAGATGAAGGTCATCGAAGTCGTCTCAGTCTACACCCTGGTATGACTAAGATGTATCAGGATCTGAAGAAAGTTTATTGGTGGCCTAGTATGAGGAGAGATGTTGCAGAGTATGTGGTTACTTGTTTGACTTGTCAGAAAGCAAAGGTGGAACACCAGAGGCCAAGAGGAATGCTACAACAAATGGAGATACCTAAGTGGAAGTGAGATAACATTACCATGGATTTTGTTACCCATTTACCATGGACAGTTCTGGGGCATGATTCGATCTGGGTGATAATGGACAGATTGACGAAGAGTACACATTTCCTCCCCGTAAATTTGAGGATATCTATGGCTAAGCTAACACAACTATATATTCGCGAGATTGTCCGATTACATGGGGTGTCATCTAGCATTATCTCAGATAGGGATCCCAGATTTACTTCACGATTCTGGCAGACTTTACAAGAGGCATTAGGTACCCAACTCAGGTTGAGTTCATCCTATCACCCCCAGACAGATGGACAGTCAGAGAGGATTATCCAGTCACTAGAAGACTTGTTGAGGTCTTGTGTGTTGGATAATCTAGGAAGTTGGGATGATATCCTTTCATTAATAGAGTTCACGTATAATAATAGTTATCATGCTAGTATCGGGATGACACCATATGAGGCTCTTTATGGGAGGAAGTGCCAAACACCTTTATATTGGTATCAGGACGAGGAGAAAGTGTTGATCGGACCTGAGTTACTCCAACAGACTACAGAGAAGGTCCGGGAGATACAGGAGAAGCTGAGAGCTGCTATGAGTAAACAGAAATTATATGCGGACCAGAGGAGGAGGCCTTTGGAATTTGATGGGGGAGACCATGTGTTTTTGAGAATCAGACCTACTACTGGAGTAGGAAGGACAATTAAATCTAAGAAGTTGACACCCAAGTTTATTGGCCCATATCAGATTCTGAAGAAAGTAGGTCCAGTGGCATATCAGTTAGCGTTGCCACCTCATTTGGCAAATCTGCACAATGTATTTCATGTATCTCAGTTGAGGAAATATGTACATGACCCTAGTCATGTCCTGGAGTTAGAAGATGTGCAGATTAGAGACGATATCTCCATTGATGTGAGACCAGTGAGGATAGAGGATTCTCAGCTGAAGCAACTTAGAGGTAGAACCATCTCGATGGTGAAGGTAGTATGGGATAAGAAATCTGGAGACTTCACTTGGGAGATGGAGGATTAGATGCGAGAGTCATATCCATATCTATTTCCTAGTAAGTTCGTTTTCGAGGATGAAAATTTTTGTGGAGGGGAGATTGTGACGTATGTTTTTTTTATTTTTATATATTATAATAATATTACTTGTACAAACACTACTATGCAAAAAAAAACTTCGTAGTGAAGTTTCCTCTTCACGCCAATTTTCTATATATGTACGAAGGGGGGATGAATGGTTACAATAAAAAATTCTTCCTCCCATATCAGGCGTTCTTCATCCTTATTCTTCTTTCGTCTAAATTTCAAGCAAACGATACTATACTCGTGCAGGATCTGGTGAAATGGGAGAGACTTTGGATTAAGTGGGAAAACTTCGGTAGAAATACAACACAAGGTAAGGGGAAGTTTAATTCATTTAATATATGAGACTGAATTGTTAGGTACTCTGAGAATAAGGAATAGGAGTGGAAATCTGAAGTATTGAACGACTGATTTTAAATATTTCTTCATGTTTGAAAAGTTTGAAATTTTCTTGAAATTCTTAAAATTAAGGATGAATTATATGGTCAAATTGTTGTTTTTTACTTAAATTGAATATAGTTCATGTTTAATTTGAATTTGAAACCAGTTTGGTTGTCTAATACTGAGAAATTATAAATCTGCAAAATTTGATACAGTTACTAGATGCGAGGTTAAAGAAAGGGATAATGGGGGGATTTTTGAAAAAGATCAAGGGTAAAATAGTCATTTTACATCCTAGGGACATAAATGGAATTTTTGAAAATGTTCAAGGGTAAAATAGTCATTTTTGGGACATGGAAGGAATTTTCAAAAATGTCCAAGGGTAAAATAGTCATTTTCAAGATATGAAAGGAATTTTCAAAAATGTCCAAGGGTAAAATAGTCATTTAGGGACATACATAGAATTTTAAGAAAAGATTAAGGGCAAAATAGTAATTTAATGATTTCGGGATGAAAAAGGAATAATAGAAAATATTTAAAGGTATAATTGGAATTTTAGAAATAAATTAAAGGTATGTTAGGTAAAATAATTAAAATATAGAATGAAGTTAGAAATTTTAAAGAATCAGAAGTGTGTTGTGACGTATGTGGGTCAGACTGAGCCCGAGGGCTGATACCTAGTATCAGTCATGAGATGTTATGTATTGGCTAGATTGAGCCAGAGGGTTGGTGCTCAGAATCAGTCAAGTAATATTATTTATTGACCCAAATGAGCTATGAGGACAGATGGTCCAGAATCTGGCAAATGTGAATGATTATTGTTGTGTTTGAATGGTACCTAGGGTGGTACAGAGTATATTAGTGTACTAACTATGTCGGAGGATTCGGATGAGGTCTCAGACTTCACTGATTGGTCGGGTCAGGTAGACTACGAGATCAAGTTGTGAGAAGTCGATGGGAGATGACTGGTGGCGCGCTCGGAGGGGTACTCCAGAATGAGTGATGAAGGGCGCCAGTAATCTCACTGTATGTGGAGGTTGGTTAGAATGGTACTACGAGTGCTGACCACAATGTACCCTCAGATGATAGCCTTTGAGTTCGGACATGGTTAGGATATACTTCTGGAAGGCGTCTTAATGTATTTATGATAATATATAATTATTACTTCTATATCTGTTTTATTATATCGAATGATTTAATACTTACCCCTATTTTTCTATGTGGATGAGACTGTGATTATCACTTTTATGTGGGAGTAGATTAGGAATTGAGAGATGGAGATGCGACTACGGGACAACAGGGATAGTTCAGTGAGATAGTTCAGTGAGATAGTTTTGTGGGAGTTACTTTTGCATGTATCTATATAAATAAATTATATTACTATGTTTTGAAGTTCCATCAATGAACCAGGATTTCAGTCTATATTATAATTACAATAATATAATGTAATATAGATATTATTATTTAGTTGTTTATTATTTTACGAAAGCATTATTATAGTAGCAATTTGTAGGATTGTTACAAAATCAATATTTTCTTTTATTATTTTTTCATTCATTTTTCTGCACATTCTACTCATTTTCTTTCCATTCAAACAACTCTATTTTTCATATATTTTTTCTCTCATTTTTTACTTCTTCAAAACCACTTTATCAATCCAAACTAAATGCGTCATTCCTATAAGTTTAAATATAGTGCAATCTGATAAATTAATAACTACACTACACTGAAAAAAATGACTATTTCTTTTATACTCTTATCATTAAAACTTTACCTTTTATTGATGATTTATTTTCTTTCACAATAAGAATTATATTTATATTAGTTTATTAACATATGAGGTTGATGACCGTATCATTAATAAATAAACTTATGGACGAATTTGAGTTGAATTCCTTTTGTCTCCTTTTCTCATTGCGTAATAATAAAAATGCACTTTAGATAATTAAATTAATTCAATTTTTGAAAAAAAAAAACAATAAAAATCATTCAATTAGTTTACTAAACCAAAAAATAGTTCCATTCAATTTACTTGAACTAATTCTTTAGTTGAGTTCAATGTTGGAATACTTACTTTTTTAGTTTACTTTTTATACAATTTACTTCACTTAAACAATAATCTATTCTAATTACTTTGTATACTATTACAAATTATATTTTTATTTTAATTGCTTGTATTAATATAAAGCAAAACATTGTATTTAATAACATTGCAGTTGGTAAAATATATGTATTCATTAAAATTAGTTTGTAATATTCATTTATTTTATAATAGTTTTTAATAAAATATGGTATAAGTAGTTAACATGAAATCTCCGATAATTATTTATATCCAAAAAACTCAATCCAATATCTTATTCAAAGACTCAACTTAAACTGGACTTGACATTAATATAATATTATTTTAATTATACATTACTAATTTTAACGTTGTATAAAAAGATAATATTAGGACTATCGTACATATTTTAAGAAAACGCAATGATTTGATATATATTCGATAAAAGAAATTAAAATATGAAAACATTTCTCTAGGTTTGGAACAATCAAGAACCTAACAACAATATGCTGTTTGGACTAGTTGGATTTGGGTTAGAAGAAATTTTTTTACAAATCCAAACCAAATAAAATTAATTGGTTGGGAGATTTTTCCATTTTTTTTATTGTATCATTTTTCATCAATAGAAACTGAGAGCTCATCTAAAGATGTATACAACCAGACAATATAAAAAAAAAAAAAAAAAAATCAAAGAATTTTTGTTTACACCACGAACATTTACTTCACAATGAAAGACGCCTAGTAAAGCTTAATTCTGGTAGTAATGGGGCTCCTACAGATAGGACACGTCTGAAGACCTGGTCCACACTCGCAACATGTCTGTCATGTAACAAACAAATATGTCATTCATAGGCAATTATCTCATTTTTCCTTAAAAAGATATTGGAAGAAATTGAAAATACTGTTTTACCTGATGCCCACATCCAAAGGCCATGTCTTTCGAATTGGTCAGACATATGGGGCAAAGCTGCAGAAGATCAATTCAATTCGTTAATTGTACGCTATCAAAATGATAAAATGATAAATTTATATTAAAATAATTATTTAAATATTATTTGATATTGTTAAAATATTATTATATATATCAAATAATATCTTTTATTTATTAATTTTTTTGTTATATCTTTTTTATTTATAGTTGTATATAGTTTATACACAATATAGATTAATCTCAAATCCTATTTTATTTATATTTAACTTGATATCTAAAGCTTAAGATTATTTTGAAATTTTTTCGTCTTTGAGTCGTCACCACTCCCGAGTCAGTTAAACTGATCTTCCATATTAAAAAATAATTATTTTTGTTACTCGGATATTATTTTATAATGTGAGAGTGCATGTCTAGAAAAGTTATGACATGAAAAGACTTAATATTTAAATGTGTTCATTAGTATCTCACCTCTCTTTCCTAGGAACTTACATAGTGTATTAGTTCATGTTGTTATCATCACTGTCACTGCCTCCGCCGCCACTGCCAGAGTCACCGTCAAAATTTCATTTTTGAACGATAACATATAGTTTTGTTCCTCTTAGTCAGGCGACCATCGTGTCAGTGAGATCACCATTATTGAAGTTGGTCGTCTGTTGTCTTATGCGTCGTTTAGTCTCGACGGACTTGTTTTGGTCTTCTCGTTTTAGATTTGTGTTTCGTGGGTTGATTAGATTATTTTGAATTTTTTTTAAGGTTTGTTCTCCCGTCCTTCATGACTTCTTTCACTCCTACTACTTCTAACTCTGTTAATGATTATTCTGCGTTGGCATCTCACCATGATGACCGGACTCGCCCTCGCAAACAGGAAAAATGGTTTCCTAAGTGTGAACATTATGGCAAGCTAGGTTATAAATTACATGGTCGTCCTCCTCGATCTGTTACAGTTGTTCAGACCGATCTTTCCCCACCTTTATTTGTTGGGGATCCTCCCTCTTCTGTTGCATTTGACACATCTACTATGTTCAACAAATTTCTCAAATAGTATAAGGATCAACAGTCTTCTAATTCCATTACATCTATCGCACACACAAGTATATATTTTGCTGGTCTGACTCAATCCTCTTTTCCTAGTGCTTGGATTTTTTATTCAGAACCACTAATCATATTACTGATAACAAATTTTTGTTCTCCTCTTTATCCTTTTCTAATCCTTTACCTTCTGTTACACTGACTGATGGCTCTAGAATAACATCTCATGGTGTTGGAACTGTTAAACTTTTTCCTTCTTTAATCATTGATAATGTTCTTTATGTCCCTCGGTCTCCTTTTAACCTGTTGTCCATCAGTCGTCTAACTCGTTTTCTTGATTGTATTATTTTTTTTACTAACAATTTTGTGTGTTTACAGGACCGAAGTTCAAAACAGGTGATTGGCACATGATGTGAATATCATGGTATTTATCATCTCCGTCCCTCTACACAGTTGGTGCAATTATGGAGTCTCCCTCTCTTTTTCATGTTCGGTTAGGTCATCCAAGTCTTGCCAAGTTACAGAAGTTTGTCTCTGCCTTGTCCAACTTGTCTAGTTTGACGTGTGAGTCGTGTCAATTAGGCAAGTATAATCGTACTTCTTTTTCTCATAGTGTCACACGTAGTATTTCATCCCTTTTTGCCGTGATTCACTCTGACATTTGGGGACCTAGCCACGTTAAGTCTACTTTAGGTTTTCAATACTTTGTTACTTTCATTGATGATTATTCCAGATGCACTTGATTACTTTTGATGAAAAATCGTTAGAAATTGTTTCATATCTTTTAAACTTTTTTTAATGGATTCAAACTCAGTTCAATGTTTCTATTAGAGTTTTGCGCAGTGATAATGACTGTAAATATCTTTCTCATTCTTTTAAACAATTCATGACTTCTCATGGTATTTTGCATCAAACTTCTTATGTTTATACACTTTAACAAAATAGTGTAGTTGAACGTAAAAATAAACAACTTATTGAAACAACTCGCACTCTTTTAATTCATGGAGAGGTTCCTCAACATTTTTGGGGTGATGCTCTTCTTAGTGCATGTTATCTCGTTAATCGCATGCTTTCTTCGATTTTAGATAATAAAATATCTCATTCTATTTTATTCTCTCATGAACCACTTCATCTCTTACCTCTAAGAGTTTTTGAGTCTATATATTTTATTCATAATTTCAGTTCTGGTCTTGACAAGTTTTCTCCTAGATCACATAAATGTGTTTTCTTAGGGTTTACAAGATCACAAAAAGGATACAAATGTTTTTCTCCTTCTCTTAACCGTTATTTTGTGTTTGCAGATGTTACCTTTGATGAGTTCTCTCTTTATTTTAAAAGTCAATTTTCACCTCAGTCTCCATCCAATCCTGTCAACACTTATAGCACATTTAATGTTCCTGTTGTTTGTGACCCTCTAACTGTGTCTTCTTCACCATTAGTTTCTGCTCCCCAGTCAGCTTCTTCTCCACCGCCTCTTCAGGTTTATAGTTGCAGAAATCAATCACAACTACCACCATGTGACTCCACTCAAGTGTCAACTACTCTGTCTCCTTCGGATTTGACACCTGAGTCTGACTTTCTCATTACCCTCCGCAAAGGTATCCATTCTACACGTAATCCCTCTCCCCATTATATTGTTTTAAGTTATCATCGACTGTCATTACCTTTTTATACATGTTTTTTCTCTATTTCTTCTGTGACCATTCCAAAAACTGTTCAGTGAATTTTTAGCCCATCCTAAATGGTGTCAGACCATGTTGGATGAACTAAGTGTTCTTCATAATAGTGGAACTTGGGAATGAACTTGGGAATTGGTCCCGTTACCATCTGAAAAATCTGTTGTTGGTTGCAGGTGGATGTTTGTTATCAAAGTTGGACCTGATAATACTATTAATTGCCTCAAAGCTCGTCTTATGACCAAAGGTTATACTCAAATTTTTGGGTTGGATTATGGAGATACATTTTCCCCTGTGGCAAATATGGTTTCTGATCGTTTATTTATTGCCATGACCGCTCTTCAACAATGGTCTCTTTATCAACTGGATGTTAAAAATGTTCTTCTCAATATGATTTGCTAGAAGAAATCTATATGAAGCAACCTCTTAAGTTTGTTGCTCAGGGGAAGTCTTCTAGGATGGTATCTCATCTTCGCAAATCCTTGTATGGTCTAAAACAGTCTCTCAGGGCCTAGTTTGGAAAATTTAGTAAGGTTATTCAACAATTTGGGATGACTCGATGTGAAACAGATCATTCTGTCTTTTATCGACACTCGAGTGCTGGATATATTTACTTGATAGTATATATTGATGATATTGTTCTTACAGGTAGTGACAACCATGACATCTCTCAATTGAAACATCTTTGTCACCATTTTCAGACCAAAGATCTTGGCAAACTTAGATATTTCTTGGGTATTGAGGTGACACAGTCCAATAATGGTATTGTTATATCTTAGAGGAAATATGTCATGGATATTTTGGAGGAAACTGGGTTGATGAGTTCAAAATCTGTTGATACACCCATGGATCCCAATACTAAACTTCTACCAAATCATGGGGAGCCTATATCTAATCCTGAACAGTATAGAAGATTGGTTGAAAAATTAAATTATCTTACAATTACTTGTCCTGACATTTCCTTTGTAGTCAGTGTGGTAAGCCAATTTCTTAATTTCCCTTGTAAAGATCATTGGAATGCAGTCATTCGTATCTTGAAGTATATTAAAGGATCTCCTAGAAAAGGATTGTTATATGGTTCTAATAACCATACAAGAGTTATTTGCTACTTAGATACTGATTGGGCAAGATCTTCTTCGGATAGAAGATCTACATTTGGATATTGTGTCTCCATTGGTGGTAACTTGATTTCATGGAAAAGTAAGAAACAAAGTGTTGTGGCAAGATCTAGTGCAAAAGCAGAATATAGAGGTCTCAGCTACCTCTGAACTTGTTTAGCTCAAGCAATTGCTTAGAGAGTTACAATTTGGAGATGTCACTCAAATGATACTTGTGTGTGACAATCAGGTTGCTCTTCATATTAGCTCTAATCTTATCTTTCATAAGAGGACCAAACACATTGAGATTGACTGTAATTTATTCGAGAAAAGATTATGTCTGGAGACATCAAGACTGAGTTTGTTAACTCAAGTGATCAATTAGCAGATATTTTTAGATATTTTTACCAAGTCTTTACAGGGACCTAGAATTGATTATATTTGTAACAAACTTGGCACATACGATTTGTATGCTCCAGCTTAAGGGGAAGTATTAGATATTGTTTAAATATTGTTTGATATTGTTAAAATATTGTTTGATATTGTTAAAATATTGTTAGATATTGTTAACCACAATATCAAACACTATCTTTTGTTTATTCTGTTTACTTTCGGTTACTCTTTTAGTTGTACCTCTCTCTATTATAAATAAATTATCCTATGTGTGGTTTATACACAAGGGAGATTAATCTCAAACCCTATTTCCTTTATATTCAACACATAACACAACCATTTCAAATTCAGTCCCTATATTGAGATAAAAAATGCAAAACATGAAACAAGACAATAAAACTATGTTGCTTAACCTGGATTCATGACAAGCACCATTTCAGACACTAGACATAGAATAGAGAGATTATGAAAATATACAACAAAATTAAGCAGGTAATTGATGCCATTAATCTCTCCCCATTAGACCAGGAAGAAGCTTCTACGTGATTAATCTAATTTCTCAACAAAGGCATGCAAAGATAATGCCAAATAATGCAAGATTGGAACAAGGAAAAAAAAATTATATTCAATTAATTTCAAGCAATGCTACATTACATTTGTATTGCTCCAAAAAGACCTGATCAAGAACATGACACATATTTCTTTCAGAGCACTTAGTACTTTGTTGGGAATGTACCTGACTGTCATATGTGGAACTTGGGGCAGGAGGAGCTGTGCCAACTAAGTCGCTGTTGTCATAATAAGAAGGGGCACTCGACTCAAAGCTAGTAGGATGAGAAGGTTTTGAACTGGCAAAAGATGCTGAACCATATGGTTTTGAGGTGTCAAAAGATGCTGTTGATTCATGAGGTTTTGAAGCACCAAAAGATGCTGCTGAACCATAGGGTTTTGAAGTGCCCATAGATGCCGAACCATACGTTGGTGTCGGGAGGGCAACTCTCTGAGGAGCATTGGGGTTTCGACGACTATTTAATAAAAATAAACCCCGAGCAACCAAAATTGTGAGAAACTGAACTGAAGGTTTATTTTAGAAAAGAAAATTATAAATGGTAGAAAACAAAACTTACCCTAAGAGATTAAGCTCTATTGCTGCCTTATACTGAGAAGGAATTTCCATCAGTGCTGCAAGAGCAAATGCTGCCTCTTTACGTGAAGGAGGAATGTTCTTTGACATAATTTCTGTGAAATTCACAAACTAAAGAACCAGAAAGAAATCACATTAAATCAGTCAATGATCGATTAGAACATTTTAACAGTTACTAACTGACATTATTATGTATGTTCATCGTCAATCACCTGAAAATTATCGAAGGCCCTAGATGGGATATTGTCATCAAACTCCTTCATCATGTCCCAAGGACCATCTCCAACTCCAACCAATATGATTGAAAGAGGAAATTTACTGTGACAAAACAGGTAAATAAGAAAAGACATTTAAACAGATAAAACATCATTGAACAAAACCTACAGGATACTCACCTGGCCTCAACAATAGCATCCACAGTCTTCTGCTCCTGTGGACTCAGCCTTCCACGTTCAGTGTCAATACTTCTTGTTACCTGAAGTAAATATCAATGCAGTTGGGATAAAGCTAAGTACCGTTATAGCAATTGAAAGTCAGACAAACTACTTTAAATTGCAATGTAGCAAGCATGACTTTAAATAAAAGAAATTACAGGAAGAGTGGAGTTTTATGTATGACAAAGATATATTTCCTGTTCATTTAAATTCTGTTACATAGATCAGAGAAATTGTTTAACTGAAAACAACTCTACGTTCAGGATATAGAAAAGAATAGAATACCTGACCATCTGCAACTATCACCAAAACATGGTACTGGCCTCCACTCTGCTCAACGATTGTCATGGCCATTTCAATGATTGGTGCAAATGAGGTAGGACCTGGCATAAAACCATTAGTCCCAATTAGCTCAGTAAGTCAGCATTTCTATATCTACAGCAGAAATAAGTAGAATTTGCAAAAGAAGAACCAGGCAAGTAGTAGAAATATAACCTGCAAGTCGAATATTAGGAACAATTTCCCTATAACGACCCAACACTTCTTCAAATCCATTGCAAAATCGGTCATCTGGGTAGAAACTGAAGACATCCTGATCATGTGTTGATGCTGCCATGATATCACAGTAATATCAATTATGACATTTAAACAACAGATACAACATCTGTAACATAGAAAGTTGTCAGAACTTTGAGAAATATACCATCCCCAAATCCAAAACAAGGAATCAAGTTATCCTCATCAAATGCAGCCAAGGTTTTCCCAATAATAGATATTGCTTGTTCATAGGGATTTGGACCATTCCCAATGTGATGCAAACTTTTTCTGTTAAATGAATGCTTTCCTGAAAGTGGCATCAAGTTCAGCACATATTTCACAAAACACTGGATAAATTCATTGTATTTGAAAAATTAAACGTATATGAATAAGGCCTAACCTGTCCACTCATTGCTCTTAGTGCAATCAATACCAAGAATAAGATTTGACGACTCAAGGCCTGCACGTGCAAGAGCTTCAGTCACCTGTAATGAACCACAAGCTACAAATGTGAAAACATAACACTTAAATTGATGACAAAGCATAAAAAAATTTCCTAAAATCTGAAAGATGAATAAGAAGGGTCGTCAGTGTAGAAATATGCAAATTGGAAGACAGTATTATGATCAACTAAGTCATGCCTGAGTCTCAAAAGTAGACATAGTCTTTCAATTAAGTGAATTCAATTCTGTACAGTAAGTTATACACGACAGTACATCAACTGCAAGCAAAGCATTTCTTACCTCATCTATGGAATTGTAGTTATCTGCGATTCTTGAGTACTTTCTGTCCAACCGCTTCTCGTTCCTGTGGCTGGCAACTCTATCATTATCATGAGGCTGAGGTTCATAGCCATAGTTTTGCTGCGGAGGTGGAGGGGCATAATAGTTCTGCTGTGTAGGGTAAGAAGGCTGTTGCGGCGCATAGGCGTAACCCCCCCGACCATAATCCGAGTGGGGGTCAGGATATGTACCCCAAGAAGAAGAAGAGGGACTTGGACGCACAGATGAATTATCCCTCCAATTATTATCCTCCTTAGAATTGTTGCCCCCCATCAACTCAATTCTCTAAAAAATTAAAACGATATCAATAAATAATGACAAAAACTCAAAACCCCTCAACAAAACTGAGCAGAACACAATCGAAAATCAAAACCCAGAGTAACAACAAGAACTCCAAGGCCAATTCCAGATGCTATATAGCGTGTTTACAAACCCGTCGAGAAATAAGAGATCACGTCTACAATGTGAAAGCTATAAGGTAAGGATGTCTAGAATGTAGAACTTCAGAGGCAAAAGCTATAATATAACTATTAGCCTCTTACTAGACGCTAAAAAACCACGTCTGGATGTCTGAAACGTGAAACCAAACAGGCTAAAAATAAAAAATTCCAAACCCTCTCCTTAACAAAACTAAGCAGAAACACCGTCCAAATTCCAAAAAGACAGCAAACAGTATAAAATCTCCAAAGTCAATTCCAGGTGCTATAAATAGAGACAGAACTCTCCTCCAACGTTGAATATTAAAAATTTCGAGGCAAATGCTCAATTTAAGAGACAAGGACCAATTCATAAATCCTCACCGACTCAGAAAAACACAGCCTTGTTAAGTAACCAACTTAAAAGCAAAAAAAACCATGTAGCCGCCATGTGTCTTCAAACACATTCAACACACGGCATCTCGATTTGGCAGCACACCGAACGCAATAACGTGACAAAATCCCGTCCAACGGTAAATGAAATTGAAAATAAAAAAAATAAAAAAATCCTAAAGCATCAATTCAATTTCCTCACGAACTCCATCAATTACCACAGGATGGCGAAAAACCTTATATTACCTAGTGAACATAAAAAATAACGGAGTAGTTAGTGAAAAGCATGGACATAGCAAGGATGACGAAACGACATTGGCGAATAGTGGAGGTAGCGCTTGGAAGATACCTGGATCTGGACGGCGATGGAACATGGCGTTCGGAATATTCTGGAATCGGTCTGGCACTTGAATACCAGCGAAATGGAGAGAGTGTCTCTGTATGTGTATGTGTGAGAGAGAGAGGATTGAATAATTATGGACTCTTGTGAAGGCTAAAAGTGGATACTGAAGAGACACACTTTCTCTCTGTTTTTTTAATTTGTTAATTTTTGTTTTGTAGCGTTGAAGATGGAGGTTGCAGAAGAGGCTGCACATGGAGGAGGATGCGTGTGAATAATGACATAGGTAACTTTGGATTACAAGCAATTTTTTTTTATTTTAAAAAAAAAACTAATGTGTTTCTTTCTATTTTATTATTATTTTCTGTATCGATCTTATTATCCTGTGAAGATTTTTTTTATTAACTTAATTAGACTTTTGTTTGAATAGTTTAATGTGTCCATTACATCATTTTATTTTTAGTAATTTTTTATGAAAATGAGATAAAAATTTGGTGCATATTTTGTGGTTGATTGAGTTTATTTGGAAATCATTAGTTTTTGAAGTAAAGATATTATTTTTCATTTGATTTTACGTGTATTTTTCTTTTAATTCATTTGAAGAAAAAATAATGAAAAAGTAAAAACAAATATTATTCTTTAAATTTACTTATTTTCTGTTTTATTGTAAAATAAATACATGGAGAATTTTGTAATTATATAATTAATTTGTATATTATCTTTAAAAAACAAAAATTCTTTTTATAATGCTCTTTTTTATTAAATAATTAAGTATGTTTTATTTTATTTTATTTTATATTTAGTATTTAGTATTTTCACACTTTTATTTAATAATAATTATATTGAAATGTAAATTAGACATTAAATATTTATAATAAATGAAAAGTAAGTTGGACTTATAATTTGTATATTATCTTTAAAAAACAAAAATTCTTTTTATAATGCTCTTTTTTATTAAATAATTAAGTATGTTTTATTTTATTTTATTTTATATTTAGTATTTAGTATTTAGTATTTTCACACTTTTATTTAATAATAATTATATTGAAATGTAAATTAGACATTAAATATTTATAATAAATGAAAAGTAAGTTGGACGCATTAAATATTTTTAAGTTAGAATGACCTCGAAGATTTAATTTAGTTCCTAAATTTAAATAAATTATAAAAAAATTAAAATAACTTCAAACTTCTCATAATTTAATTTTTTATTTTAGGTATTTAAACATATTATTATTAAAATGTAATTTAATTCTATTATATCATATAAATTATTTTGATATAAATATCTTATTTTAATAATAATATATGAATATGTGTTTGAAAATATTATAAAAAAAATATTTTTAGAAGTTATTTATTTATTTATTAATATTCAAATATTAACTAAAAATATATATTTTAAAAAATAAAATTGTGATGAATGAAAATATCTTGATATATTATGTTATAAATTATAGTTTGTATAAATGTGAAAATACTTAGGATGACAAACCAGTTAGTCGGTTCCATTTTGTTCTATTTTGTTTTGGTCCCCAAAAAGGGGACACAATAGACTAGTTTGTTATAATCATGACTGGATTGGTCTGTCATAATTTTTTTTAAAAATAATTTATTTTTTTAAATTAAAATTTTCAATAAGTTTAATAATAAATTATCATTCGTTTATCAATCATTTAACATATAATTTCAAGTTAATAATATAAATAAACACGTTATTTTAATTATATTAAAAAATTCAAATACATATATCTTTTTTATTTCATAAATCTTCACATTGTTCTTTTCTTGAATAATTCTTACACCTTTAATTCAAATCGAAGGATAATCAATGGTCAAGTATGAAAAAGGAAAAGATTATGAACAACAAGGAGAACAAAAAAGAGGAGTTTATATTTAAGCAAAGAGAATGTTTCTTGTAATGAGTGAGAATAAGACTTTTTTAATTCTCTTTTTACAAATTTTCACTTTATAAAGTTTATATATTGTCTTTATGACTAATTTATAATAAAAAATATTTTTTATATTAATTAGGTGGATCTATGGATTAGCATGATCGGTTTGACTGGATTAAAAATATTAACCTACCAAATCATATTTTTATTCAGACCTAATTCGTTTTATCATTTTTAATTATATAATAATAGGATAAGGCTAATTTTATCCAACCTAATGAGTCCATTGGCCAGATAGTTTAATTAAATGCATGTAAGCATGATTCCATTTATGATTTTCTTAATCATTTATATATGTTATCTTCTATTATTTTTATTGGATTTTGAGTTTTTTTATACCAATCTCTTCCATTTTATTTAATTTTTAAAAAATTATTATATTTTAATAAATTAATTTTAATGTTTTTATAAATTATTTTTATTTTTAATTATTTAATTATTAATTAAACATGTATTTTAATTCAATATAATTATATTGAAATATGTATGTAAAAAATATATTTATTTATTTTCTAAAATATAAGATACTTATTATAATACTATTATTATTATTATTATTATATAATATTATACTCAAATCTTATATGTATAAGTTAATTTTAAAGTTATTATTTAAAAATGTTAATAAATATAAAATATATAATTTATAAAAAAATATTTAATAAATTAATTATTACGTAATTAATATAAAATAATAAAAAATTTAATAATTAATTTTTTAATCCATCAAAATATAATTATTTTAATAAGATAAAATTTGATATATAACAAATAAAAATAATAATATCGAATATAACAAAATTTAATAATAAAATAATAATAATAACTAAAGTTAATGTAAAATATTTAGTTTGTATTTGGATTAGGATGAAGATTTGTATGATTATTTGGATTAAGAGAAAGATGGTAAATTTGAAGAGATTTGGGTGAATCTATGATAGTTTATGTGATTGAATATATGATAATTGAATAATAATATTTTTACTGTAATGACAAAAATACTCTTATGAGGTAGGATAAATAAATTAAGTATAAATTAAAAGATGATGAAAACATGGAAGCTACATGTAAAAAATGTAATATAATTGCAAACAAGAAAAATAGTTGTGTTGAACCGCATTGTAATGGAGGTAGTTGTGTCATTACTTATGTAAACAAAAATTATACAACTTTAATTCACGTAGAACACTGTTTGTACAAGGTTATTTATATTGTTTTACCTAATTTTTGCTATAAATACATGTTTTTCTATATTTTACCGCAAGGATTTTCCACTACATGAGATTCGTACCCAAATAAATGCAAATCTACCTAAATTTATAAATACAACACAAGATAATATAATTGCAAATCTACCCACTAAGAGTTATATATATAAGCAAACAAAGCATTATAACAAGATAATAAAAAAGAAAAATTAATTTTATATTTGTGAAATTGGTTTAAGAGATTGAAAAAACTAAACTCATTGAAAATAAATAATATAATTAATGAATTGATTGATCAGAAATATTGAAAAAGATAAAATAAAAAAATGATAAAAAAAATAAAAATATGAAATATATAAAAAATATCTTATATAAAAAAATAAATACTTTAAAAATATTGTTATTTTAAGGTGAAAGTTTAAATATAAAATCATAAAAAACACGGAATGAAACTAAACGAAGATTGCATTAACCGTTTCTGATTTTTTTAAATGGAAAAAACCATCTCTAAATATAAATCAGACAAGACATAGTTTATTTTGCTTGGTATATAATCTAATATTAAAAAAAAAATCGGTTTGATTATAAATATTATAATTAAAATATATATTTAAAAGAATAAAATTAAAATTTAATAATCTTGAATTATTTTATTTAAACAGTCTGAAAATAAAACAATTCAAAATAAAATCAATTTAAATTTATTTTTTAATTTTTTAAAATTATAAAATTCTTTATTCAAATATATAACATTACTTTTTATTTCTCTTATATCAGCAATATTTATTAATTTAATCTATTTGAGCAAATTAAGAATTGAAACAATTTAATTAATTTCATTCATGTTACCTTACTCAAATTCAACCTTAACCTGAAAAATCTGAGAAGGATTAGCTCGGTATTTGTGGTTTAAAAATATAATGAGTGAAAACAAAACCAATGATTTAGTTTTAATTTGTTTATTGTTGTTATATATATATATATATATATATATATATATATATAGATAGATAGATAGAGATATAAAGTTTATAAATAATATTTTTCTTTCAATTTTTATAGTTACTTAGTTTGTAAACTAATGACTATAACAAAATGCTTTTTTTTTTTTTTAAATAAAACTATTACAAAAATCTGGACAAAATTTTATGTATTTTCTTAAGATAAATTTTTATATTACAAATAATTATACTCAATTGCGTTGAACCTAATCAACTCGTTAATTTTGAATTAAAAAAATAATAAATAAAAAAATAAGAATCGATTAATTCAGATTTTATTTTCTCTTAAATCAAATTCAAACCCACTGGTCAACACCTTATTTTTATTCCATGAAGATCTTTTCTTTTATATTTTGTTTTTATCATAGAAGAAAAAAATATAATTTATATCTATGTTATATTTTTTTCTTCACTTTTTTTAAATATTTTTTAGAATAATAAAAAATATATTTCTTCTTTACTCTCTCAATTGTACATAGTTTATTTTCTTCTAAAAGTCGTTCTCACGTTTATTTATAATTCATAATTTAAAAAAAATATTTATATTTTAAAATTTATATATATATATATATATATATATATATATATATATTAAATTTTAGTAAAATAAAATAAAAAACATAATAAAAAAACAAATACGTAATATATATATATATATATATATATATATATAATATTTATCATGATTGTTTATTGATTTACAAAGTCTATTTTTAAAATGATATTATATAAACACTAAGGTAAGTAACTAAAACATATTTAATTATTTTATATAATTTTTTATATTTATATTTCATGTGTGAAAACATATTATGTTAAAAAAAAAGTGTTTGTAAACCATAACAAAAAGTGGGGTAAGATAAATAATTAAAAAATTTAATTGAAATTGATTGAATGTTACTTTATATCCATGCATTTCAATCAAAAGGTCTTAATTATTTTCTATAAAAAAAAATCACGATAAACTTGTTCCATTGAAAAGAAACTTGATTTAGTAAAATATAGGACATCATGAAAATATTCAAGTTTCAGTGAAATTATTTATTTTTCAAATGTATAATAGAAACACACTGTGATGATAAAATGACATAAAATGATAAAATAACATTT